CCGAAATTCAGGGTTGATAAGCGATCAGTCCGAGACCACGTGGGAATCCTTGTTTACAAGCATAAGAAGAAACTTCTAGTGGAGAAAAAGCAACTGGGATGACTCCCGATGAACCAACAGAACTAGAAAACCTATTGGATATGATCATCGCGTTGGAGGAAAGTGGCGAAGCGGAATTACAGGAAACACAGGGAACAGCTAGCAAAAAACGTCAATACGATCGGGCTAAAGCGGAAGATTTTAGACTAAAAGCGATGGAGAAGCTGTCAGAGACGAAGAAAAGAGGTTCATCAGCGGATGAAAGCGATGACAAACCGAAGCGTCAACGAAGAAGTGGAGGTGATGCTATCGAACAAAGCACAAACAAAGCATTTCTTGGACTTTCTTAAATGATGCCATGGCTATTTCTGCGAAAGAATATTGCCGAAGAATCACATTGATAAAGAGCGGTTTGTAGCCGCGTCGTCTTGCATCGCGACGGAGATCTTAACTTTACTTTTCGCGCGCAAACGACGGCGTTCTACAGGTCCAGTCCTTTATCAGACACCGCGTTCTAGAAGTCGTCGCGTCCCAGATCTTAAAGTCCCTATTGTTTAAAAAATGTCTTTCTATTGCATGTACTCAATGAAAACGAAATTATTATCAATGCTGGGTATTGGGTACTTTCTCAAAATTGCCAACATAAATTCCCAGCAAGAAAAGCTAAACTGTCCTAATTACAAAAATTAGTTTCCCACAAAACACAAAAAATTATTAGCCCAATCCAGGTCAAAAACAACAGCTAAACAACAAATAATCTGTAAAACTCAACATCTTTACTGCACTCGACACACGGTCGTTCCAATTACATTCGATTGCATCATCCCACGATTCAGGGCTCGGGCCCAGTCCATTTCAGTCCTCTCTACTTAGTCTTCTACAAAGTTGCCAAACGCCAAAAAACTCCTGCAGAAATTTTGTGCCACACAGTAATTAAAGCAATCTCACACAAGATATTTGGTATGGTCGACCTCTCTAACTGTCTGGAGGACATCCTCTCGACTACGTAATTGGATGTCATCCTCAAATGACCAACCTGATGTAACACGTAACAAGAGAAGTTAAATAATTTACCTTAAAATACCTTTGAAGTGATTACCGTTTGTAAGATGTTGGACTGTGATAATCATATTTGTTATGTTTTTTCTAAGCCGTTTTACACTTTTATTTGGAGACTACAAAATGCAATTTGGCGGTAATGCGTGACAACTTAACACCGTTTTCCCTTTTTGGAGGTATGTCGAACAGCTGCTTTCCCCGTTGCAATTGCCCTTGTGGCCTTGAAGGTTTGTATTCCATTGCTCTACATCTCATAGGGCCTATTTAACCTGTGAAATAATTTTCAAACAACACCGCCTGTGTTTGTTTACACAATCAGAGAAGAGAGGTGAGGAGATAACGAGCAGTGTTGAACAAAGCCACCCACAAGAAATAGGTCCTGAAGAGGAAATAGAAAATGAAGATGGAGATGTAGAGGTTGTTCTTAGTCTTGTTCAACCTTCTGCCGAACTAGACATGGAAGAAGAGAAGGAAAAAGCTGACGTGGATGGCCTTACACCAACTGTTCTTATTCTATCTGGATGTAAAACTCCCCAATTTCTCTCCAATTTCTACCAATTCAAAGATAACACCCATTCATCAAAGTGAAGTCCGGAGGGGGGGAATATGCCACGTCTATCAAATATTGGTTTGAAATTATTCTTTGGCTTTGGACAGTTGGGAAACTTCGGGCAGCCGGAAAAACGTGAAACAAAATATGCTTGCCCAGTGTATTTGCTGCCCTTTTATAAGATAAAAATTAAAATTTTACGATTACTGCATAATTATTATCCTTGTTTAACAGGCACTCATTCAGACCACAATCTATAACCTGCAGATAAGGGCCGCAATTTAATGGTATATGAGAATTATAAAGACAAAGATATGATTTATTTCAAAAAAAGAAACTGGCATAAGTTTATTTCGTAAAATGATGGATTGGCATACCAAAGCCATGCTGCTAACTGTTGCACACCACTAAATATAAAGAAACCGCAGCCAATTGATAATATTGTAAACAGTAAAACCCTGCGTATAAGAACAAAAATTAAGAGCCTGCTGTGCTAAATGTTTCTATTTAGATACCCTTCAAACAGATATCTGTTTAAGCAAGGATTTTATAGCAGGTTCTTATTATATCAAATGGGGTCAAAACTAAATCTTTTATTTATATTATATAAGAAGTGGTTTACCCCAATTTCCTGGTAATCACCTTCATTTACAAAAGAACTTGTTTACACTTACTTGCAAAAATCTAGGTTCTTATGTGCAGGGTTCTACTGTAGAGAAAATGTGAACCTGATAAGGGTAAGCACGACAAGGCATTATTGTACAGTCATGTAAACTTTTTTACTTCTCTAAAAATCTTCTTGTCTATAAATCGCTGCTAATAAAGTGGATAAAAGTTTAACTTGATCCTAAACTCATCCCCCTCCATAAGGTCAAGTATAATATTCCCTGCTCACTTCGCAATAATCAATAAGCTTGTCTTAAGTGGCCAAACACTGGGCTTACACATATAATATCAATGTCTCAACAGATAATTACTTACTACTGAACTTGCTAAAAAGAAATGCCTGTCTCTGACAAAGGAATTTAAAAGGACAGTATCTCTTGTCATGATTATTGCTGTATGCAATAACTGATGTTTCAATTCCTTTTTTGCTTCAAGATAGTATATTGTGGAATTTAAAATTATGTTTTGAGGTGCTCTCCATTAATAATACTACAGTCAAGTTAGTTTGTTACAAGAGGTTTGGGGTTTCAACCCAAAAACTTCCACGTGGAAACAACACAGTTTGAAGGAAAATAAATAAGAAGCTTAAATTGAACTGTTCTAATAACTCAGCTTCATGAGGGTGTTTTTTAAGTAAAATTTGTAAATAGGAATGGGAGAGCTTTTCATCCCTTTTATTGTAATGTTCCTTATACTGCTTAGCAGTTATGAGGGAACTAAAGAGTTGACTGGCAACTTCCTCCTCCTCGATGTCGCTTGGCTTTCTCTTAAGGAAAACCTTAACATTCCTTGTCCCACCAACTTTATCTCCAGCTTGATCTTCCTCTAAGGAATTCATTGCCTCAAGAACCTTTGAGGCCTCTGGCTGCTTGGAATGGACCTGGTCAGGTTCAGGGGCCTGGATGACACAACAACTTTGCCCTTAAGGAGTTTAAGTTTAGGGATGTACTTGCAGTATTTCCTCTGGCTGCTTAAAGTGCATGTGGACGTGCAAACATGTCAAAAATTGTATTTAGTTGCATTTTGAACAAAATAATAATAATTATTATCACTCAGAATGAAGGTAGTGTGAAATGGTTCAATGCTTTGTGGTTGCTATAAAACTGACTTTGCATTTTGACATTGTTAATAATTTTTAAGGTCAAGACCTGTAAATGTTGCTTATATTGTTACACTGCACAAATTTCATGTTGTTCGTAATAATTTTTGGATTGTCTTCACATGTGACAATATGATATTAGTGCTATTGCTATACACTTTACAATGTAAACAACGATTTCAATATGGCGTAAAATATATGTTCACTTGTTGGCGTAATTTGTGTGCAAATGTTCAGACCAACGACATACCTCTAGAAAAATAGTCCTCTGAGACTTTTTGTAGGCACTCAGAGTGATTGCAAATATCATAGATTGTAATGAAGGCGAAGAAGTGTCTAATGTGGAATGCAATTGTGGTGACAATTACACGGTGTATGACATTTGCAGAGTGCAGACTGCAGACTGCAGACCGCAGACTGCAGACTGCAGACTGCAGACTGTAGACTGCAGACTGCAGACTGCAGACTGCATGTGGCAGTAAGACTGTAAATTAAATGAAACCATCGTAATAAAGGTGGCATCATCATCAACATTACCTTGTTCTGAGAAGTACATGTAAGGCCTAGAAGCGAAATTTATATTTTTCACGCAAATTACACTGACCTCATTCCTGAAGGAGTTGTTGTCTGTTCTTCTCGTATTGAATTAGAGCAGAATAATGTCTGCCGATGTCAAAAACTTGCTCATGAATCCATAGCAACAGGCTAGCAACTCAGCCTGCACCACAGACGAAACTAAACTTTGGTTATATAAGTCAGTCTGTGAAACAGCGCCGGAATCCTTATTTTACGGGTGCCCCGCCTGTGTACTAGGATTTGAGTATGACAATGATTGGCCTGTTAAAAATGCCATTGTCGATTTGCCTATTTAGAAATTCAAAATGCACTTTCGGTAATTCGTCGTGTCCAGGTAGGATCTGTTTGTTTTAGGTTATTTAGCATATCCTTACATACTGGTAAGGTGAAATACGTCATTTAAATTTGTTAAATGTCCGTGATCTATCCTAGTTGTTTTTGTCGACGTAACTGTAGTGAGCACGAAGTGCTCGCAATCTAAAAACTCTTTTTTACAGAAGACTGCTATTTAGATAGGCATTAGTGGGCATTGCTACTTGTCATTATCAATTCACAATAATCAAAGAAGAGTAAAGAATCAACGCAATTATCGATATGCCGGATGAGTCAATAAAGAGTCGCGTCGGTGAAGAATAGCCGACAGCATCTTGGAAATAAGAACAATGCAACTTTGCGCAAAAATATCAACCTTGTTCCCAGGCTACTTTCTCACTTTCACACTATGTTATATTTTTGGTGTCACCTTTATTAGAAAGATTTTTGGTGTCTTTTAATTTACTTCAAACGTTAGAACTCATGAGTTGGTCATGGTGTTATTGAGTAATTTTAATTTTCAGCAGACCAAAACCTTGTACCAGAATAATTTAAACAATATCGCAGTCTTTTTTACATTTTTCAAGGGTTATAGATATAATTAGTTATCTGTAATAACACCAAAGACTATTTCTCATGGGAGCCTGAGAAAATAAATGTCAAATTCCACAAGAAATGTGAAAATTTCATGTGTAAGATGTCATTTTGAAAGATTTGACATATATCTTCTCGGGTTCATATTACAAATTTTCTTTGGTGTTACTACAGATGACTAATTACATCTATAGCTCTTGAAAAATGAAAAAAAAGGAACGCGACATTGTTTAAATTACTTTGATACAAGGTTTTTGTCCACTGAAAATTGAAATGACTCAATGTCCTCGTGGATTCCGTCTTAACATGTTACAATTTAAAAAGAGGTTTCACTTTATAATTGCTTACAACAACAAGACCTGCAAGTGGTGGAGGATAACGCCAGCAATGTTGTAGCCTTCCACACAGACGTCATCAATGACCTACAGTGTGAAGTTTTTGCCTTTCAAAGTAACATGAATCCTTCAGAAGAGAGCCAATTTTGCAGCTATTGCAGAAACTCTCCCTGTGTGATTCTCTCTGAAAATCTACCATCCACATTGAAAGCACAAGGCCATATGACAAACCATACTAAGAGGAAATGGGATTATAAAGCATATAGCCAAGAAGAGGCTTGTGGCATGACCCTGTTTATTTAAAACATAAAGAAGGCCTTGGCTGTTACTTCAAGAATGTGAAGGAAGTTATCCTGATCTGTGTTGAGGAGAACATGGGGAAACGATGGCCAAATCCTGATAGGGTGCCATACAGTGGTCACCCCCGGTCATAGCATATTGCTTATCGTGACATACGTTATCATCAATCATAAAACATATATAGACCCTTCATGCGGGGTGGGGGTGGTTTGGACTCAACAAATGACAACAAAGCTGCAACCCATAACTTTTTCTATTCTTTTATTTATTATTACTTTTTTATTGTAATTGTTGAAGTAAAAAATTGTGTACTTCATACAACTCCTCTTCTGCATGAGGTGCCAAAATCGATCAATGGATTGGGTGTAGATCACTATTAAAACAAAACAGTGGTACAGGCATCAAGTACAAATAAAATTTCCCAGTTACAAAGTGACATTACACTGCTCTATTGGGATGGGACAAAAATACTTATCTCATCAGGTCCCCTTTTTCTTTGTCAAGATTGGGAGGCAAAGAGAGCTGCTGGAGCATGTCGACATAAAATAGTCAGCATGGTATACTTTCTGAAAACAAGAAGACCAATACTTTTTTATCTCATTCTCTTCTAACAGCTGCCAAAAAGGAGTTGACCCAGATTTACGATAACAGTTAGCCAAAACGGAAGCAGAAATCCTAAAATGATTGCAAAGTGCTATACCAAAAATAATGACTTTTGAAAATGAACTCTTAGCCTCTTAGCATTTTCATACAAGGTGATGATGTAACCAACCCGCTCAAAGTGGAAGAGTAGGAGCCACAATTTTATTTTTTTGAAACAAAGAGTTCCATATAGCTTCCCTGATAGTCTAGCAGTTAAGTGCAAATCTGAGGAGAATTGTGCCTTTGATGATAAAAGCACGATTTTTGGCACAGAGATAATAGAGATCTTAAGAAACATTTTTTGATATAGGGCCATCCCAGATTAATCACGTGACCTCCATTACATTTATCTAAAAATGACGTCATCGGGGGCGATCTTTTTGCTTCATTGCAAGTAGAAATAGAGTAGTATTACGTCCACTTTTTAATAAATCCTTATTTTTCCGCTCCCATACATCTAAAATAATAATATTTTTGGAATGGTAGCTGTAAATCACCGATGCTACTATATTTCATTTTTTATCCTTCGGGAAAACAAAGAAGTAACGTCGTGATAGTCAAAATGGTCTTGAGGCAAAACATCACTCGCTCATAGAGAAGAGTCTTGGCCATTTTAATATTATGCACTATAAATGAAAATAAAAGAAAACGTTACATGAATTTCGCACTCGGGGAAATTTCGTAGCGTTTAAGTGGAGTCCATCTCGACCGCCGTTCCTAAGATTGCATTCAATGCTTTGGGAGAATAATTCAGTCACTACCAGCAATGTAACTATTAAGTTTTATCTTATTTAACTGAGTTTAAAATTAGATTAGATTGTTTCTTTCATAGCCAAGAGATAAAGTTAAATTGAGTTGACTTTTTTAAATAGAAAGTTTTCTATCGCATCGCTTACTCCAAAACGTGCTATTTAACTTCGGTAGGAAAATAAACAGCAACAGCAACTTGACGGGTTTTTATCTCAAGATATTTATGATTGCCTGTCACTTTGAGCTTAAGTTTCGTTCGTTTCGTTCAAAGTTAAGCAAAATGTTTCTGTTAGCCTGTTATTAGCGAAACGTTTTTCAGTCAGAGAACGTTTTTTAGTATTAGTTGAACAATCCTGGCTTTTACTGTTAATGTGAAGTAAACAATTAAATAAAATACCTAACCAAATTTTTCCTTGCGAGAAAAAAAAATTGGAACGTGATCATATAACTGACTTATTTAGTTTGTTATTGGTTGGGAACATTTCCTAGTGTTGTTTAGTCTAGTATTTATACATTGAATAGTGGAAACAATTTTGTATATGATATATATCTTCATAATTTTAAAGAACATGGTTACATATTCAAAAAAGGTATGCTTTCAGTCTTTTTAATATTTCGTGAATTTCGGCTTGTCAGGTGAAAGAAAACCCTTCACTGCAAGCCGCCATAATTTCGATAGTAAAATGTAGCTATAGCAACAGTTTACAAGGTTATCAATGACCCTTTAAAACCTGTAACGGAAGCTTCTGATACGTCGTGTTTACCAGTAGATTGGAACAAGTGTATTTTGTGTCAGACAGACACATCCGAAATCCTGTCTTGTCCGGCTGATTCTAAGCGTATCACGAAAGGAGCAGGTTATAAGACTGTGGCAGAAAATCTTCAAGCTTTTGAGAAAATTGGTTGTTTGCCTAAAACAATAAATCTGTCCCTATTAAATGAAGGAGAAGGAATCGAAGCGAGTTTCCAACACATAAAGCCAAATGGCATGACTCATGTAGACTAAAGTTTAACAAGACGAAACTCCAACAGGCAGAAAAGAGAAAAGCAGCTCCCGATAATGGTTCAAGTTCAAAAAGCCCAAAAAAATACATGCGTAGAGGCCTTGAAACGTTACCAAACCCTATTCATCAATGCTTTTTCTGTGGTAAGCAAGCTGAAGGTGAAGACTCCGTGCACAGAGCATCGACACTTGAGCTTGATGCCCGAATTCGTCACTGCGCCTTACAGTTACATGACAAACCTCTATTAGCCAAACTGAGTGCTGGAGACATGGTAGCTCAAGATGCTGAATATCATGTCAAATGCCTTGTTTCTCTTTATAACAGAGCACGAGGAACCGAAAAATATAGTGCAGAAAGTGATGCGGATGCCGTTAATCACGGCATTGCTTTTGCTGAACTTGTTTCTTATATAGAAGATGCGAGAATGGACAATCTGATAGCCTCAATTTTCAAATCGTCTGGCCTAGTCAGTCTATACAGCAACAGGCTTACACAACTTGGAACAGAAGTAGCGGGACGCATCCACTCAACTAAAGTCAAGATTAGAGTACTGAGCTACTTTTCAGACATGGAAGCTCATACCCAAGGCCGTGAAGTTATTGTGGCTTTCAACGGGGATGTTGGTGCCGCACTGAGAAAAGCATGTGAACATGACGCTGATGGGGATGCTGTTCATCTTTCTAGGGCTGCCACTATAGTTAGAAGAGATATGTTCAGTAAGAAAATGGAATTCAATGGCTCATTCTCCACTACTTGCCAGGAACAGTCTGTGCCTAATTCACTGCTAGCACTGGTTACTATGGTACTTAATGGACCAAATATCAAATCACGTTCCTCCAATGTGTCTCAGGCTGCCCTTTCTCTGTCTCAGCTTCTTCTATACAACAGCGTGAAGCGCTACAAGGAAAATGATACAGATATTGTCCGACACAGCCAACAAGGAGAAGCACCTCTACCAGTCTATTTAGGTATGATGCTTCATACAAAGACCAGGAAACGTGAACTTGTGGACGCTCTTTTTAATCTTGGCTTGTGTATATCGTATGACTGTGTATTAAAAATCTCCACTGAGCTGGGAAACAACATTTGTTACTACTATCAGCAGAAAAGGGTTGTTTGTCTCCCTCGACTGAAAGGTGGTATTTTCACCACCGCTGCTGTAGACAACATTGACCACAATCCCAGCTCAACTAGCTCTCACGACTCATTTCATGGAACTGGGATATCCCTCTTTCAGCACCCCACTGAGAAAAACAATGACGAAAACTGTGGAGTTCAGCTGCCTACTGACGCAATTCAGGACAATGTACGTGCACAAAAGAAGACATTAATGCTACCAGAGTTTTACACAACGGTGCCTCCTGTCAATTTGCATAGGGACGACCCACCTATCCCACAGCTTCAAGGGCCCAACAAAGGAGAGTGCCAGCGCATTCCTGAAGAAACAGTGAAGGAATACCGGTACAGTTGGCAAAAATCTTTTTATTTTTGACATTGCTTTCCTACGTGACTGTAACTGCAGTATCAATAACTACAAAACTGGTATTTTATTTGTACAATTTACAGGTGGTTGCAAGAGGTAAGTCGGGTAGTAACTAATGAGACTGTAAAAGATGCTGATGCCGTTTCCTAGGCCTATACCATGCAAGTCTGCAACCTTCTAGTAAATCATCCGAATGCTGCGTCATAGCAACCTCTCTACTGCCTCTTTTTGATGATCAAGCCCACTCCGTAGCCATGATCCGCCACTCAATGGACTTAGATTTCCGATCTTCTTGTACTGGACAGTAGAGATCTTGCAGATCCAGCCATTATTGATTCCGTTCGTAAAATTGAGAAATTGGGACAAGAGCAGTATGACATCTATGTAGGAGAGAGGCTAGTCAATCAAACAAAGTCCGTCTGGGAGCCTATCAAGAAGAACAATTTGGTACTATTTAGCCGACCTCCTATCCGAAAAAAGACAAAGTCGCAGCTACAGCTTGCTTCCCTAAAAAATGACTGCTCCCTCTTTTCACGTCTTTACGTTGCATCGCAGGTCCGCAATGGGAATCTTGATGAATTTTTCGAGCAT